TTTCGCGCATGTAAAAGTATATTACAAGGGGGTATGGCGCAATTTTTAAAATACAGGGGGAAAACGCGCAGATTTCGTATAATACAGGGGGGTTTGGCGCAATTTACCCGAGTTAAATAGGAGAAAAATTCATTAATTGAAATATAAAAAAAAGGGGGAAAAAATAGGGGTAAAAAGGTAATTTCAAATAGGGAAAGAAACAAGGAAGGAGAGAGGACACATCAAAGCACGTGGGGGCGCGACAATCCAGTACGAGCGCGTCTGCAACCACCCGTGAGATTCTCCAATCTCCTTTCACACACTCACACACACATAACAATTTTATTATTAAAAATAATAATAAAAATATCGAAATATGTACAAAATTCAAAAAGAAAAAAAATGGGTGTACGCGTAGAGTAGAGGCGACGTGTGGTAAAGAAGGGGCAGAAAGGCAAGCGCCGCCTGGGGCCGGCAGAAAGTCGGCTGTCTGTGGGGCCCATTTTATTGTGGGCCCAAAGCCCATTATTTTCTCTCTCGCCTCGCCTAATTATTCGCCACGTCTCACGTGCGGCGCGGCTGCTTACTGTGAGATGATGGAAAATTGAACAAACTATACCAATTTTTTTGCAAGAGTGTATTTACTCGTTGGAAATAGAGGATCATATAGTTCACATAAAAAATATTTATTTTAATTAAAAATATTATATTTTTATTATAATATATAAATATATATTATATTATATTAAAAACTCATATAATTACCAACATAGGTTGGCTCAAGTAGTAAGCAGCATGATGTCGCTTAAGCTCGAGTTCGAGTCCTTGTGGATGCAGAAGACCTTTGTTGGGAGACTCATCCACCATTACCAGGTGTGCGACCTAGGTCGACAACGAATTGGTCGGGACATAACTTCGGATACCGTGACTAGCTAAAAAAAAAAAAAAAGATAATTATATAGTTGAAATTCTCCCAAAAGAACCTTGTTCAAAATTAATAAATTAATCATTTAATTGGAATTCGATTTCTATCCCATCAAATAAAAGGCTGTAATAAGGTGGGAACCGAACCATTGACTAAAAAGTGAACAACTGGTAATAAATTAGATTGTGGCCACACAAATTCCAATAGACCTCATGGCTCAATTTATATTAAAGAGAATCAAGTAAAATTCACATCAAATGCACATTGCTAATAAAATTTTCTATAGATTTAATTTTAGAACATGCTATAATTATGAATGCTTGTATGTAAGTTGATTCTACATAAATATGCTAATACTTCACCTATAGCATTGTAATTATTTACATAAGATGTTGTTGCTTAGTATGTTGAAGCTAAGCTAATACAGTTTGCGATTTTTTAGTTTTAACCTATTTCACATTTCAGTCATAAACTTAAAATAGTCGGTCTATAGTAATCGCACCTTAACTGTCGATCCGATTTATAATATCTTATATTTACTTCTCTTGAAATTTATTGTGAGTTATTATCACATTTTCCATCGATTGTTTTTCACCATCTCTTTAAATATATTGGGTGCAAAATTTTATTTTTATTGTTGAAATATGTATTAGGTTCTTTCTTTTGAAGCATGGAAACAAAACTTCACTTGGAGTTCGCCACAAGGCAAAGGAGAAAGTGAAGATGGGGGAATAATACCACACAGGCCCATGTTTGTAGATCTAGTTTAATTTTATTTTAACGGGCCTTCACAAGCCCATATACGTATCATTTAACTTGCTTTGTTTGTTGAAAAGGAGAGAGGAAGGAGGGGCTTTATGGTCCCTTTACACTTTCTATGGATAAATTGGTATATGATGACGGCCCCAAATACTTGTTGCATGCTGGGATTTAGTGGGCCTTCAGACACAGGGTTCATGGGCCATCAAAAGACTCTGATGGGCCATATCAGCATATTCCACCAGTCATATGATCTAGTTCATATTAATGATGGAGACATGGAGTTTCACAACATGAAACAGGCGCGACGCTTAATATTTTTGTTTAATGACATTTATTAATGTCGCAAAAAATTGACCTACACTATCAAAAGTGTCGCGAGTTGTGTTGTTGTTAAATTTGATGTCACGAAATTATTTGCGACAGAAAACTTTAGCGTAGGTAAATTTTCATGCGCGACGCTTTTCTTAATAATGCGTCGCTTTACAAGGTTATGCAACATTACATAATAACAATATGTGAAATTAACATTCTGTTATTTTAACTAAATCATGTCAAAAAAGTAACACGATTGCCAAAACAGAATAAAGCCCACGCAACTTATAGTACAACAACTGTACTATTAAGGACAAAATGTTGTACTGATCAAACTGCCCATCACCCTTCCTATTCTGCATGCTGGCCACGTGTCCCCGCACTTGCATACGTCTATACGTCGATCGACGCCTTGTGGCGTTATCTTCTATGCACTTATGCTCAAATTGCTTCACGGTACGTACGTGAAGAACATTTTTTTTGGTGCAAAAATGGAGGCCAGAAGCTCGAGAACTATGATGCTGACGTGGGTGAAAAATATTAATTCTAGGAGTTGGAAATGTATTTGTGCAGCTAATCATTCTATTTTTACCAAAATTGTGATCATGTTAATTAGTAGGAAATTAATTTACCTACTATGAAGGCTTTCATTAATAAAAAAATTAAAATATATATATAAAATTAGTTTTAGTTTAGTTTTTGGGATTTATTGTATGATTTTAAGCAAAAATAAGAGAATATATTATAGACGGATACACATTTTATGATGGAAAAATTCTACGTTAATCCCTTATTAAAATTTCTTTAGTGTACACTTTTGATGACAATTTTTATTTTTTTTTGGTTTCTTGTCAAAATTAATGGGTAAAAATTAAAAATAAAAGTACTTTTTTAACTTTTTTAATAGATAGGTCCCGAATTCGGGTGTGTAGACCCCCCGGGTCGTGTGGGGTCGGTTAAAATCCGGGTAGATCCCCCGGGTCGTGTGGGGGTCGGTGATTTTTAACCGGCGACAGGCCATGCTATCAGCGATCACCCAAATATGCACGTATTTAGATGTGTCTACTAATTAATGAATAATGATTATATAATTTCTCAGTTTCTGTGCCGGATAAAATTAAAATCATTACAGTATAGGAACGATATATCATTCATGGATTTATGAATGAAAAAAAATTAAGTTACGATCATGTGACAGTACTCTTTAAAGGAAATATGATAAATAATAAAATATTATAGATGGAAACCCTAAAAATAAAATTTTACTCTTTCTTATTTTTTCTTAAATGTCATTTTATTTTTTTCAACTATTTAGCCAAATAAATATCGTTTTAAATCTTTTGTACATATTTTTTCATTATTATCCTTATTTAGCCAATAAATATATTACATCTTTTCATATTCAGTCTTCACTTTTTCTCAAAACATTCATTTCTATCTTCATTAAATAAGATTGTTATTGACAAAAAAAATATTCTTAATTAGTGCGCAACTTCTCAAAACGACATATATTAAAAATAAGAGAACGACATATATTAAAAATGAGAGGTACTGTATCAAAAAATAGGAGAACGACATATATTAAAAATAGGAGGTAGTATGATACAGGATCGTGATTTATCTTCTCATTGTAAGCAAAATTTGATTTTTTTTTTTTTTAGTATTATTTTCATTTTCATGAGTACAATATATGACGCACAAAGTGGAAGATAGATATAACTGACAAAATATATAATAAGAAACGCCAAAGAAGATAATCTTCAGATTAAAGTACATAATAATCCAAAGCAAAAAAACGCCATTAATTAACACAAATTTCTTGATAATAATTAACCAAACAATAGTAGACCAAAACATAAACAGTATATTACAGACACAACTCTGAATTACAACATAGACCAGCACAAAGCTTCCAAGCTGATCATCATCATCATCATCATCATCTTCATCGACAACAATTATTAAGGGACTTACTAATAACAGAACATTCATAATCAACAACACAATACTCGAATCGAAAACAGATATAAAACAAGGGAAAACAACAATCTGCGGCAAAATAATCACAACAGTAGCTAGCCCACCATTCTTTTCGCCTATACACACTCACTTTATGTATGTATAGGCCACTGTCCATCCCATAGCTCATCAGATCTTAACTCAATATTTCAATTTTTAATTAAGTGAGCAGATCATTCACCCACTCCAGATCCGGCCCGCCGGAAGTCGAACCACCCTCGTTTCCGTTTCCATTATTCCTTCCGTCCTCCATCAGATTCCTTCCGGCGAAGGAAGAGAACTTTGCCGGCCCCGGCCCAAGCCGGGCCCGGCCCGAACTCGGTGACATAGCAAACTGCGGCTGCTCCTGATCGATCCCGAAGTTCACGTCCAGCCAAGGCAAGCCGCCGGAGGCCGCGGGCGAGGGAGGAAGGTCGGCCGCCGCCGGATTCATGGCCTCGAACGCGGCCATGACCTCGGCCAGCGCCTCCTTGTACCTCATCCCGTCGAGCCCGTGGAAGCGGGAGATCTCCGGCGAGAAGGGCGCCGGAGGGGACGGCGGCGGAGAGACGTGGGGGATGAGGGTGGAGTTTGGGGAGGCGGCGGCAGCTGCAGCAGCCACGGCTGCGGCGGCCATGGAGTGGCACAGGGGGCAGCAGTGGTTGTTGTTGGCGGCGGCGTTGGGGGATGTTCTGGTGGGGGAGTCGTCGGATTCGAGATCGGCCGGAACGATGCGGAGCTGGCGGGAGGAGTGAGCGAAGAAGCAGACTTTACGCTTGCAGTTCTTGCCGTCCTTGCAGGCCTCTGTGCGGTAGCGGGAAGGGTGGAGCCAGCACTCGAAGACGCCGTGGGAGAACTCGCAGGAGTCGGCGCGTGGGCAGGTGCCCTTGCGGAAGTCGGGGCAGACGGTGCCGGAGTAGCGGAAGCGTCGGGGGTCGCGGCGGCGGGCCTTCTCTCCCGGGTGGGCGAAGGGACAGTCGGTCCAGTCGTGGCTGCGGCTGCGGCTGCACTTGCGGACCTTGAACTCGAACATACGGAAGTGGTCCGACGAGTAGGGGTCGTCGGAGTCGTCAGAGTCGGAGCCGGGGGCGGGGAGGAACTTGGAGAAGGCGGCGGCGGCTCCGCCGTCGGGGGAGTGTTGGTCGTGGTGGCGGAGCTTGCGGGGAGGGATGTCGAGGTCGCGGAGGGGAGAGGGCTTTTTGGTGAGGTTGTGGTGGTACAACTGGTGGAGCTTGTGTTGCTTATCGGCGCAAACGCTACTACCCATCATCTTTTTTTTTTTTTTTTCTTTTCTTTTTGGTTTAATTCTTCTTATTTTTGGGTGTGAGGAGAAATAGGAAGATAGAATTAGGGTTTTATATGGAGTGAGGTGAGTGGTGACGAGGATAGTATTGAGGGATGGGTGAGGAGGTGCGTGGCGGGAAGGTATTAGGGGTGTTTGCATGCTAAGGGGGGTACGTGGCGCCTCCACAGGCTGCTATCTTTGCATGCACACATGGGATTTCTCTTCCCCGTTTTACCCCCATCCTTTTATTATTATTATTATTATTTATTTTTGAATTTCTATTTATGTTCTGGTAATTTTTTTCCTCCATGTAATTTTGGGACTAATCAATTGTTAGGATGGTGAGATACACAAATTCTATGGAGTCATCCGTATGTACTGACACATGTCTAATGTGTATTTATTGCATAACCCAAGTCATTCGATGGCTCCATATCAAAATCGTGGTGAGATATATGAGGTTTATTTTGTAGTTTGGGTGCATTTTATGTTGAGGGAGCTGTGCGTATTCATATATATTTGGCATATTAAAATTACAAACAAAATTACTAATTTAATTAATCGATACCTCTTTTATTTCGATTTAGATTTCTCATTCCGTTTCAAATTCCACTTAAGTGTGTTCCATTTCAATTTTCATTTTATTGGAGGAATGACACGTATAAAAATATGACACTCTCATTTATATGTTTCATTAATCCAACAGAATGAAACACGAAATGAGACACAAAAGTGAAGGAAGATATATCATTTCTTCCCATCAACAAATGGTTAATATATGTCTAGCACTTGAGCTGTCTTGAGATTAATATATCAAATAAAATAGGTATATATGGCTTTTTCAAAGATCATAAAATCTTTGAACGTATTTAATGGACAAATCTCAATATGGACATAGTTAGCATTTAGCTGTTAAATATATATAGTTGGGATTCCAACTAGGGTTGCAAACGAGTCGACTCGCTTGCGAAGGCTCGAGTCAAAGTTCTACTTGAACTTGAGTTTGACCGAACTCGAGTCGAGCTCGAGCTCATATTTTTTTATTGTCGAGCGGCTCGATATATTTGTCAAATTACTAAAATACCCCTTATATATTTAAATAGTATAACACATGTGCTTAATGGTAATTTTACTTTTTACTTAAAAATTTCGAGCTGAACTCGAGCTGAGCTTGAACATTTTGATTTCTAGTTGAGCTTGAGCTATTGTATTTACTGATCGAGTCGAGCTAGAATTCCTTAAAGAAAATGCCAACTATCCATACAACACATGTACCAAATTTCTCCTTTTCGTCTTAACGGGCGATTAGAAAAAATAAAAATAAACATTGAGCCCAAAAAATAGGGGGAAAAAGGAGAACTTATGTTCACTTTTCAAGGATGGATGTGTCTTTAGGATATATGTTCATATTCCCGATGATAAGTTTTGTAGTTAGATTTTTACAAAAGAACCTTAATATGACAAAGTTTTAAATTAATAAAATATTTTTTACAATAGGCATTAAAATGTTTAGACCAGGGCATTGTGCTAATAAGATAAATAATAGTAATTGATAAGTTAATTAGTTCATAGTTTATAATTGACAGGCGATAGCTGAAAAACTAAGGAGAGTGTTTTCATTTAAGATTTTAAAGTTTTTTTTTTAAGATTTTAAAAATCACGGTTTATTTAATTTAGATTTTAAAACTTTTAAAAGTTTTTGGGATATTTATTTGGAATTTTAAAAAGTCTTACAAAATACTGAATTATTTAACTTATTTGAGACTAAAATTTGTTAAGACTTTATTTTCTAAGACTTGGTGGGATTTTTAAAGAAAAAACTTTCTGTGAAATCCCACTCAAAATCCTAGTTCCAGACTTAAGATTTCACAGTATTCATTTAAAATCTGAAAATATTAAAATGTATCAAATCTCAAAAAGTCCCAAAGTGTCACTCGAAGTCTTAACTGAATACATCCTAACCAATATGATAAGTATTTCATAAATTAATTGATAAACTAGTTGGAATAAAAATGATAAACTCCACATTTAAAAAAATTCATTTTACCGAACCGAACCTATTGAAATATAAAATGCTTAGAAGCTAACTTACATTATATATATTGCTTACCAAACACTAAAAAAAAAAAAAAAAAATGAAATACTACGACCAGTTAAATGCACTCATCATAAGCTAAACTAACTTATAATTCTTATTATACACACACTCTTGAAAAATTGGAATATTACGATGCTTAAATAACACTATTATTTAACGTAGAAAGGCAAACAATTAATTCAAGCGATTTCATGAAATACATTGTACTATTGGAAGTAAATTGAGTTCATTATTTTACGAGGAACTTTGAATTGGAGTTGGAAACGTAAATAAAATAATTCAATTCGATTTGATGAATATAGAATAAGTTGTTTGACTGTAATTCCAATATAGATGTGTTGTAGTCTTTTTTTTTTCTTCAAGTTTTTAGTTTTACAGTTATTAATTATTTTTTTATGGAGTATTGTTTCTCCCTTTCCGAGTTTTTGTTTTTGGAGCTTTTTGTTTTCGGGTGGTTGTACTCCTTGGTTGCATGTGTAATTGCAGTAACGGTTGATCTAGACATTTTTCTGGTTCACATCCCGAACGTATTTTAGTTATTAATATAATTATCATTCAATAAAAAATTTAATATGATAAGAAATTGGTTTAGATTTGTGTAGGAGATGAGTTACTTATTGATTTAGATAGTTTTAGACTTTTAGTAGATCAACAAAGGTATGAGATAGTATTAATTAACATCGACTGGATAAGATGAAATATAAAATAAAATAAAGGATTATTGTAGATAAATTATGTAGGATCAAATGTTGTATGAAATATAATATAAAGGATTATCCTAGATAAAGTATCCTATCAGCCTAATCAAATAACATATAAAAGAAAAGATTATAAGATGTATATAAAGAAAATATTACGAAGTATAAAACAAAGGATAAAATGTGATAGATAATGAATTTTAAACTTTTAATTCAAATACTTCAATTACTATAATATTTTCTAAATATAGATAAAAATAATAATTTAATTAAATAACTTGTAGAATATTTTCTAAATATAGATAAAAATAATAATTTAATTAAATAACTTGTAGAATTAGATAGTCCGTGTAAGTGTTGAGGAGATTAGTTTTCAGTTTGTCGTCTATGCACCATCAAGCCCTATGTGTAACATTTGAAGGTTTAGTAAGCTTAGCTTTCAGTTTGTCGTCTATGCACCATCAAGCCTTCAGTTCGTAACTTTTGAGTATTTAGTAAATTTTCCTGAGTGAGGTATATATTTTGAAATTCTGACATAGATTTGATCGGGACTTGCACAGTTCAATTGTACTCGCTTGGTGTGCCTACAACATTTATGCAATTGTTACTTGTTTTTGTATTTTTATTAATCTTTTTAATTTTCTTTAACTACAATTTTCAATTTAATGTAAAATGGTAATAAGAATTTTCAATTTAATGTAAAATGGTATATTATCTTATTACATTTGTTTTTACTATTTGTATTTCTCGGTCTATTACTCGATCAACACAATACACAATGTACACTTGAAAAAACACAATATTAATTTAATATAAATACTTTAAAAAAATAAAAATATAATCTTAACTAAAAATCATAAAAAAAAAAAAAATGAACCGAATTAACATTTTAACATTTTACCAATTTTTACTTATAAAATTTTTATATACATAGGTTCTAGTTATTAAGTTTGACAGTATTTATAAACTTATACTTAATATCTTTTTAGTTTTTCATTTAATTAATATAATACATACATTCTAGGAAAAGCAATATTAAAATTGTGTTTTACAAATAAAATTTAGAGTTATAAATAAATTATCATACATTAATTAAAGGTGAAATTTGTGATATCATTTTGTCTACGTAAAATTGACTGTAAAATTGTGATACGTAAAATTGACTGTCTAAATATTGATGAAAATGTGGAATGAAACGTTCAATCAAGTAAAATCATATTTGACTACTTTATAATAAAATCAATCCTATATATGATGGTTACGAAAAATCAATCTCGAAACATTTTTTTTAAGTCCATGGCCAAGTATGAAAGGTAACAACACCTCAAAACACAATCTTCTTATATACATAGCTTATCATTCACCGCGCAACATTCGAAATACGAACAATTATACAAACTTATCGGCAATTTACACAAACCGACACCTCGCCTAGCATATCTTCTCGATTGATTCCATCAAAAGAAAACCTTAAACAATGCAAAAACCATAATAAAAATGTGGTTTTAATGAAACCTCACAACAATGCATGAGATGTCATCCTTGCTTTTCCTCGAAACGGCCTCTTCGATAAGATGCTTTGTTGCTGAGTGCGAGTCCTTAATGTTTTTTATCGAGTCCACAGCTTCCTGGTTGGACATGACCTATGAACGAGGTTTGACAAGAATAATGATTATAAATTATTAAGTAATAAATAAATGAGGATGTCAATAAGGAAAAAAAAAAAAAAATACATTTTCTTGGTCTAATTTCCCAGTAAAAATTATTATCCTGCAAAAAAAATTCAGAAATGTGGCCAAGGCAGCAATGCACCCTATCTATGGATGAGAAAAAGTTATCAATATTACATATGAGTTTCGGTCTAATTACACAAAGATACAGCTATCTTTCGAAATCACAATTAACTTCTAATATATATGCTTCGATTTAACAAATTGCACCTCCCAATATCAACTCAACCTTTAAAACTACCGTCTTAAATGCTATCCAAAGGCTATCAATAACATCATCTAAGCACAGCAATCCTCATGATTTAGGACAAAAAATGATGGAGTGCAAAGATACATGATAAAATGTCTGGTAATTAAGATTCGAGGGATAATCTGACCTTCCACAAGCCATCGCTAGCTAAAATGACGAGCTCGACATCATCATCTATTGTCTCAACTGCAATATCAGGCTCAGAACTAAGATGTCTCTTCAAGCTCTTGTCACCAAATGCCCTGGCAACTGCCAACTGGCCATCAACTCTAGGGACATCACCTGCAACGAAAAAAAAAAAAAAAACACCGGCCTTCAGTGAATGAATCAGGTAAGATATTTTAAGGTTTACATTAGAACAATATATACTTTGTAATTTAAAATTAAAAATTACTAGTGCATCAAAACTCCAGAATTTATTTCTTGTTATTTTCAATTTTAATTTTAAATATCACTCTTCTTTGTCAATAGTCTCAGCTCAGGGGTATATTTGTAATTATACCAAACAAATCTGGAGTTAAATACTATTGGTTTTGGTTCAACGAATTTCGAAAAGTTCAAGGCAGAAGATTCTTAAAGGCTTCCACGGAGATATATAGAACACGAAAAAAAAAAAA